AAAGTGAAAGGTATTGATTTTAATTTCAAATTTCAATTTTCCATTATTGGTATATAGCAGTATATAACAATCTATACTAATAAAAGGGTAATATGCAAATTGGTCAGGACTTCCTTACAATAACAACCGAACCAGCAGGCTACATGGGGTGACCAGGCCAGCATGGGGCAGTTGGGGGCAACCAGGCTAGCAAAGGGGGTAGTTGGGGGCAACCAGATTGGCAGGGGGAAGCAGTGAGGGGTGACCAGGCCAACAGAGGTGGTCAGTGAGGGGTGACCAGTCAGTCAGGGAAGGGTAGTTAGGGATGACCAGGCCAGCAGAGGGGGCAGTTGGTGATAACCAGGCCAGCTGGGAAGGGACAGTTGGTGGCAACCTGGCTGGCAGAGGGGGACAATGGGAGGCAATGAGGCTGGCAGAGGTGGGCAGTGAGGGGTAATCAGGCCAGCAGCGGAGGGCACTTAGGAATGACCAGGCTGGCAGAGGGGAGCAGTGATGTGTGACCAGATTGGCATGAGGGGCAGTCGGCACAACCAGGTGGTAGGGTGTGCAGTTGGGGGTGATCAGGCCAGCAAAGAGGCAGTTGGGGGTGAACAGGCCCAACACAGGGGTACTATGAGGGGCAACCAGGCTGGCAGGGGGCAGTTGGGGGCAACTAGGCTAGCAGGGAGGGCAGTGAGGAGTATCAGGATGATAAGAGGGGAACGTTGGGGGTGACAAGACCTGTGAGGGGTAGTTGGGGGTGGTCAGGCAGGCAGGCAAGTGAGCAGTTAGGAGCCAGTGGTCCCAGATTGTGAGAGGGATATATGATGGCTGGTTTAGACCCAATCCCCGGAATGGGGCCTAAACAGGCAGTTGGACATCCCCTGAGGGGTTCCAGATTGGAGAGGGTGCAGGCTGGGCTGAGGGAACTATCCCCCATCTCCTCATTTACAAATTTTGTGCACCAGGCCTCTAGTTGAGTTAATATTAACTTTATATCCTGAAACCTTGCTATATAGCTCCTTACTAGTTACAGAAATTTGTTTGGTGTTTGTTCCTTGAGCTTTTTCTAAATGGATAATTATGGCATCTTCAAAACAGAGACAATTTTATGTCTTCGCAGTCGGTACTTTTTTTTTTTTTTTTTTTTTTTTTTTTTTGTCTAATAGCATTATCCAGGACTCCAGCAAGATGTTGAATGTGAGTTTTTCTGTCAGAATTTACATTATAACCTATTTCTGGTATAATGTTTTTTATCTCAAGCATTTCCTTTTTATTCCTCTGTGGAGTTTTCCTCTCTCTGCCCACATTGCCCCTCTGTTCTGCATGATGTTCATGTTCCCATAGAGCCCCTAGCATGTTACCATGATCAGTATAAACCCTCTGGCTGATAGTCCCCAAGTCTCTGCCATACCTGGGTCTGATTCCATTGTTTGCGTTGTCTCCTCGGACTGTGTTTTCCTTGCCTCTTAGCATGCCCTGTGCTTTTGTGTGTGCATGTGTGTGGAAACTGATATAATGTATTGGATAATAGGATTGGGATAACTAGGATTTATGTTCATCTGACTGGGATTGGGCTGTGTTCCCTGTTTGTGGGACTTCCATTCCTCTGGTGATTGGTTCTGTCTCTCCAGCTGTCTTTGGCTTCCCTGGAAGCTCCTTCTCCAATAGAACATCTGCTCTCTCCATGTAACCCAGGGGTGCTGCTGAAGCCCTGAGATTGGGTGGGAGCCTACTGTATTCTGAAAACCTATGAGCAAAGCTTCGCTTTCAGTGGCTTCAGTCCCTGGCTGTCATGAGGCTTTTGGGGTGGGGGGGGTGGCTTACTTATTCCTCCCCTCAGGTCTGACAAAGCGGTTTTCCTTGAGGGCAGTCTTTGTTCCAGAGAAGGAAGGATCTGGGTGCATTTCACATTGCTTCTTTTCCCCTCCCCTTGCCTAAAGGGTGGAGGGGTTTTCCTCAGATCTCTCTGAGAGCCTGGTGTCATCCCTGGAGTAGCCCATGGAGGAAAAAGTCAATGAAGTATGGGATTCCCCCCTCCAAGCCTGGGACCCCAGAGTGTTTACCTCTCAAGCTGCCCATGATCAGTGCCCAGCAATTAGCCAATTAGCCGGTATTGTTCTGACCAGGATCTGCTGCAGCTTATGTGCCCGAGCAGTGTTCTCTGTCCCATCTTTCCAGTTTGGGGACTGGTTTGTCCTTTGACCTAGATTCTCTGATGGGTCTTCATTTGACTTTCAGTTTGTTCTGCATTTTTTTAAAAAAATTATTTTTTATTAATTTCAGAGAGGAAGGGAAAGGGAGGAGAGAGATGGAAACATCAATGATGAGAGAGAATCATGGATCAGCTGCCTCCTTCACTCCCCCTACTGGGGATTGAGCCCCAAACCCAGACATGTGCCCAGACCTCCTGGTTCATAGGTCAACGCTCAACCACTGAGCCACACTGGCAGGGCTGAATTTTTCTTGTTGTGAGGGTAGAAGTAACAACTTACAAACTCTACAAGTCAGAGCAGATGGGGGGAGGAGGAGAGAGAAAGGTGGGCAAATGTTGGTTTACATAATACAAATAAATAATATGATAAAAAATAAATAATAATATAAGAATAAACTCTGTGTTCTGTATATTCACAACTGTAAACCTACTTTTATCCACCTCTGCATATAATCACATGTTTTTTTGTTTGTTTGTTTTGTCTTTGTAATCCTCACCCGAGGATATTTTTCCATTGATTTTTAGAGAATGGGGGGCAGAGTGACAGAGAGAAACATCAAAGTGAGACACATCGATTGGTTGCCTCCTGCATGCACCCCAACCCCAGGGAACCTGCAACCAAGCTACGTGCCCTTGACCAGAATCAAACCCAGTACCCTTTAGTCCGTGGGCTGACACTCTATCCACTGAGCCAAAATGGCGAGGGCTGCATGTTTTTTAATTGAGATAAAACTAACATACACGGAATTCACAGGACTTGAGAGTCCAGTTTGATTAGGTTTGAATGTTGTAATCTTTATATAACCACCGCCCCAAACAAGATCTGTAACGTTTCCATTATCTGAAGTAGTTTCCTCGTGTCTTCTTCAAGCCAAGGATTTACCCTCCTCCCCAAAGGCAGCCACCGCTGTGATTTTTATCACCGTCGGTTAGTTTTGTGGTTTCAGAACTTCACACGAAAGGGGTTATATGTGCAGCGCCTTAGTGCTTTGGCTTGGGGAAACAATTCTGAGATTCATCCAGGTTGTTCTGTGGTTTGTACTTCATTCCCTGTTTACTGCTGAGAAGGATCCATAATGAAGATGTTCTCCTGTTTTGTTGTAGAAACTTAGTGCTAGCACCACATTTCACATACACCCACCTCGAGTTAATTTGTGTGTGTGACGTGAGTAAGGGCCAGGTTGCACTTTTCCCCATACATTTATCCACCCGGAGCCATTTATTAGAGCGGCCGCCAGTTACCCGTTCAATGTCGGCGGCAATATTGTCATAATACAAATGACCCTGTAATTTCTGGATTTATACCTAGGCTCTGATTCATCCCTTTTATCTCTGTGTACATCTTGCCAAAACACTGCATTGTCTTAATTATTAAAATTTGAAAGGATGAGTTCTTCATAATTGTTCTTTTTCCTCTAGAATTCAGTGGTTCTCAGTGGTTCAGTGGTTTCCAATGCCTCGACTCTTTAATACAGTTCCTCATGTTGTGGTGACCCCCCAACCATAACATTATTTTTGTTGCTACTTCATAAGTGTAATTTTGCTACTGTTATAAACCGTAATATAAATATCTATGTTTTCCGATGGTCTTAGGCGACCCTGCTAGTGGCAAGAAATCAACCGCTGCTGTAGAGCCTAAGACCATCGGAAAACACAGATATTTACATTACACAGACTCTGGCGGGGACCAGCCACAGGGAAGGGGGTACACAAGCCGTGCTCTGTGGAAGGCTCCAGAAACAGATCTGCACATGATGAGCCTGGCATCGACACTTGTGGGTCACACGCTGAGACCTAGTGACGTGGTAGAAAGCAGCAGCAGTCAGAGAGAGCGGTAACAGAAGAGGGAGCCGTTTAATCAATGAAGCAAAAGTCCAGAAAGAGACACACAGAAATGATCAATTACCTTCAAGCCAGGGAAGGGCTGGCTTTCTTTACCAATGTTTCTGAGTGATTGTGTAACCTGTGGCAGGGGGTGAGAGGTGGGGACATGAGTCTTGCCACTTGCCTCCTAACATACATAATTTAATGCACCGGGGAGCATAGATTTAATTGTAAACATTAAAACTATAAAAACATCCAGGAGCAGCCGAAGCAGAATATCTTCCCAACCTGGAGGAAGGCAGAGGGGACTCCAAAGAGAAAATAACTGATAAATGGGACTTGATCAAAACTTAACGCTTACCCTCTGAGTAACACCGTGAAGATAATAAACATACAACCCACTCCCGGGAGACAAAGATTTGTAATGCATGTACCTGGCAAAGGACTGTATCCACATTTCTGAAGGGAGGAAGGGAGGAATGGAGGGAGAGAAGAAAAATAAAAGGAACTCTTGCAGCTCACTAAGAGGACACCCAACCCCATTAAAATGGGGCACAGGCATGTGCCGATCCTTTATCACAGAAGCAGTTCGAATGACCCAGAAGCACATGACAAGAGGCTCATCTCGCTAACTCATCAGGAAACTGCACACTAGGAGGTCGCTTTCCCCCTCCCCCCCTACCCCCCCACAATGGCTGGAATGTTTCAAGCCTCCCCACTCTCTTCCTTCTCCCTCCCTTTCCTTGTAAGTGTCTGGTTGGGTTGGTGCTCTGGCCCAAGTGGGGTCAGAGTCCACTGGAGGGAATTAACCAAAAAAGATGATGCGTAAGGCCAGAAACCAGGTCTCACATGACGGAGAACGCAGGCCAATACGAAGAGGAAACAGCTGGAATAAACTGGTTTAGGATTGGGGAAAGCTCGCACTTCAATATAAATATAGAACTATAGACTCCCGCGCCGCGCCGCCGCCGCCGCCGCCGCCATGGTGCAGGCCTGGTACCTGGACGACTCCGCCGCCGACCCCCGCCGCCCAAACCGCGCCGAGCCCGCCCGCCCGGTGGGCCTGGAGCAGCTGCGCCGCCTCGGGATCCTGTACTGGAAGCTGGATCCTGACAGACACGAGAGTGACCCCGAGCTGGAGAAGATCCGGAAGGAGAGACACTACTCCTGGATGGACATCGTCACCCTCAGCAGAGAGGAGCTGCCCGACTACGAGGAGAAGGCAAGGCTCTGCTGTTCGGAGGGACGCGGTCGGCTCCCTCCCACCCGGAGTTCTAACCATTTTTATCGTCAGGTCTTAAAACTTTTAGCTTAGAGGCGGGTCGGGTGCTGGCAGGCCCGGAGCAGCGGCTGCCAGGCTGGGAGCAGCCAGGCCCGGGGGAGCAGTCGGGCCGGGTGCGGCCAGGCCCGGAGCAGCAGCTGCCAGGCTGGGAGCGGCCAGGCCCGGGGGAGCAGCCGGGTCGGGTGCGGCCAGGCCCGGAGCAGCGGCTGCCAGGCTGGGAGCGGCCAGGCCTGGGGGAGCAGGCGGGTCGGGTGCGGCCAGGCCCGGAGCAGCGGCGGCCAGGCTGGGAGCGGCCAGGCCCGGAGCAGCAGCAGCCAGGTCCAGAGCAACTAGGTCGGGAGCGGCAGTGACCAGACCCGGAGCAGCTGGTTGTGGAATGAACCAGAGCAACAGAGGCCAGGCCCTGAGCAGCCAGGCCCAGAACAGCTCGCTCCTTGCCTGCCCCTGCCCCACGGCTGCTTCTCAGACATGGCTGGAAACTTTCGTGGGAACTTGAGGGCCTGCTGAATCAAGTGATGAAGGCTTAGATCTGGATGTGTTGAGTTAGTTTAGGACTGGGGTGTTGATCTGTGAGTGCCTTGAGTGGGGCCTGGATGAGGCTGGTTGACCTAGTGGGAAATGTCTTTTGTGTGAAGTATATCATTGGGCATGTGGAGGTATTACTGATATGAGAAAATGCTAAGTAACTGATTTACTATCTGAAAAGGGATTTACTATTGGGGAAATTGAGGGAAGAAGAGACTGAACATAAACTGCACCTATGGATGAGGACAATGGGGGATGGGGGGTGGGGACGGAGGGTGGGGTGGGAACCTGGTGGAGGGGGGAAGAAATGAGGAACCTTTGTAATAATATGAACAATAAAGATTGCTTAAAAAAATAATAATATAGAACTATAAAGATGTGGGGCATGTATGTGCGCTCGTGCCTGCCAAATGCATGTGCACGTGTGTGAGTACACGTGTGCCCATACACACATTCTCTGACTCGATTCCAGAGCAATCAGCAGCCTCTTGGATCTGAGTACCATTTGCCCCTGAGAGGAGTTTAGCCATTGGAGAGGTGATAGAGTTGGAAAGGAGAGGGGCCGGGAAGAAGCTTGTGCAAGGACATATTAAAAGAGAGATGCAGAGAGACCTCCACAGAAACACATCACCAGTCATGTGCCCACACCTGTGTCTGCAGCAGCCCAGACAGGAAGCAAGCAGAAATTCATCCACAGCTGAAAGGAGAAGCACCCTGTCCGTTCCTGCGAAGGGTACCACCTGGCAATAACAGGAAACAGATGCAGAAGGTGACAGGGCCTCCACCTGTATTACAAATGCATGGAACGAGCCCACGGGAGGGCGTGTGGCTGACCTGAGCCACTGGGACACGCGTGGCGACCATAAGACTAAAAGCACAGGGACTGCACGCAGCACGGCGCTCTGATTGACAGAGCTAATTCCCACAGGGGTGCAGGGTGACCATCCGGTACTGCTTCAATGGCAGTGAGCAGTGAGGTGACTGGACGGAGGTGTTGGGGGCTGGGTCCTCCCTGTTGGGCTGGGAGGTTGGGGCAAGCATGGAGGAGGCAAGAGTGACCTCTGTGGTGATGTATTAGAGCTGGAGACACAAGTTTGAAGTCTAGATTAACTTAATAAAGATACATAGAAGATGTTTATTCATATGTGTCTATACACCAGTCAGTGCACACACAGTTCCTTGTTCTCTCAGCTGAGGGCCTAGATGCAAGGACACCCCAGAGCAACCAGCAACCAGTGAAGCCCAGACTCAGGTTTCTAACAGCATCTCCAAAACAAGGAGCCGGGGTCCTTGGAGAAATGGCTGATTCTGGGACTGAGGCAGCAAATGCTCAAGATGAGCCAGGTGTCTGAGAAGCTGTCACAGCCCAGAGGACCCTAAGGAGACAAGACGGTTAGATGTCATTGGGGCCTGGATGGAATCCTGGGACAGAAAGAGGAAGGGCATCCCAATGAACCAGGGATTATGGTTAGTATAGGGTATCCTATGGGGTCATTAATTATAACAAACAACTCAGACTATTATTAAATGTTACTAATAGAGGAAGTTGGGTGCAGGCTACAAATCTAAACCTGTTCTAAAATTTAAAAGTATATTTCTATAAAAGAAATGCAGGCCTAGAGTTCCAGGCCCAAGAGCCTGGCAGAGACAGGTCAAGCCCTGTGCAGAGTGGCCTCAGCTGTCCCCTGATCCCGTGGTCTCCACCACAGATCAGACAGACACATCACCAGCTGCCCAGCCTGGGGTAGCCCTTCCTAACCGTCCCCTGTCCTGCCAGAACCTGATCACTGAGCTGAATAGGGAGCTCTTGGAGGGGCCAGGACTTCCTGACCCTCAAACTAGCTGCCAATCACAGGCGGAGTTGGAGGTCATTGTAGGTCAGTGATCTCCTCTTAGATCTGGGGGAACTGAGACATGAGGAGGGTTTTGCTTGATGATCCAGGACCAGTCTTCTTGGGGAGCAGACCTGTCTCCTTCCCACCAACCCCTGCCAAGAGTTTCAGCTCTGAAATGGGTATTCCACATTGACCCTGATGATGATAAGGATGGCAAAGGCACCACCTGTCCAGGACTCTGGGGGCCTAATGTGGCCCCAGTTTAGGGGGTGGGGGAGGGTCTGCAGGAACACAGGTCATCCGCCTCCTGGACTGCACACTGCCACGATCTACAGCCAGGATCACAAATAAGTCCACGCTGTGGGCCAGGGATCCGTCTATGACTTGAGCCAGAGGCCATTCTGCGGCTGGAGTCAGGTATCAGCCTGCAGCAGGGACCGGAAGTCTCTGGCTTAAGTCTCTCTCTCTGGACCTCCCTAGTCTCCTTCTCCTCTGGAAAGACCTGTGGGAAGCTCGGCCACCTGTCTGTGAGGAGGACAGCAGAGTCCGGGCAGGACCTATAGGTGGCGTGTGGAGAACCTAAGGGGCGAGAGGAAGACGGCGGGGCGGGGCGGGGGAGCAGATATAACGCATGTGGCCACGTGGTGAGAAACGCAGGATACAGACTCTGTGCACGCACAGTCACCGGCTCTGCACACGGACAGCACCTAGAAGTCCCGTGGACGGACGCAAACACGAGTTGGTGGGATGACGCCGTCGGGCCTTTGTCTGGGGTTTCCGTCGCTCCCGTCTGTCCTCTCTGCGATAGAGTAACGTGAACGTGAGAATGCCGTTATTTCCTCTATGTCTTATGCCCTCTCCCCTCACCCCCACAGACCGACTCAGAATGATGAGAAGAATGCCAGCCAACACGTGGACAGGCACTACTGTGAGCCTTACGTGCATTAACAATGTCGGCACTATTATTATTCCTATTTTAGATGAGGAAGCAAGCACAGAGAGGTCCCCTGGCTGGCCCCCTCACACAGCCGGTCCTTGGAGCACCAGGAGCTCCTAATGTATGTCCACCAGGCCCTTCACCAGGCACTGGGGTGGAGGGGTGGGATGCGGGGAGATGTGGGGGGAGGGGGGTTAGGGGGATCTCCCAGGACTAGTTTTCTGGGCTTGGCAAGCCCTGGGACTGGACATGAACCTGGAACTACTGGATCCACTAGGTCCAGAGTGGACCACCAGGGGGCAGCAGGGACCAAGGAGCTGGCCTCCAGCCAAGCAAGCCACATGGCCTCTCTCTGCTGGCCAGCTGCCTGTGATGTGTGGGAAAGGTGGGGTTTTGAGGAAGCCTGGAGCTGTCCTGCTGCTGCCAGGGGCCTCAGGCAGGTTCATACAAGAGCACCAGCACCGCCTGGCCTTCGCCCATTGTGACATCTGTCCTCACCCACCGCGGCGGCTGCAGGTGCTTCTCTTATCTGGGGACCAAACGGAGGCCCAGAGAGGCCAAGCGCCTGGCTCGTGGTCACACAGCTCCCCTGGCAAAGGCAGGGTCAGACAGAGGCAGGATGAGGCAGAGCCTCGCTTCTCTGAGTGTCCGTGTTTGTTCTCCCTGGAAAGGGGTGTAAGACTGTGGGGGAGGGTGGTTAGGAGTCAGGGTGCATCATGGGCAAGTCCCACCCTCGGCCTCCCCCGCTGTGAGGAGCCGGTGAGGTCACGCCTCCCTTGCAGTGGGGGCTCAGAAAACCCTGATGTCTTCTTAATTAATAGCTTTTGTAGGAAAATAACATCAGAAAATGTATTCAACAGGAAGCTAACAGATAGATACGATGCCCACCAGCCACCAGGTGCCGGGGCGGGGCATGGGGCTTCCGGTGGCTTTCACTTTCCTATTTATACCTTCAGGGTTTCTCTGAACCCGAGGAGCTGGCACGTGCCAGTTTAATACCAGAAAAAAAGCAACAAGCAGGTTCTTTGTTTTAAAAAATAAAAAAAGGAAAATGAAAAAGCAGATGCACCCACCACCTAGGAAAAACCTCTGTAAAATTAAGTGTGCAGAGCGAAAGCAAGGGCTCTGGAGGCCTCCTGGGGCCAGCTAAGGCCTTCCTCAGGGCCCCTACCCACACCCCGGCCACGCCCAGCCCCCCTGGGACGCGCCACCTCCAGTCCAGCCTCCGGGGGGCGCTGGGAAACTCCGCAGCCAGCATTGCTGGGCCCACACCCCTGCCTGCTTCCAGCTCCACCTGAGGGGTGGGCAGGGAGGGGGGCATGAGCTGGGAACACCTGACTCTCTGACTCTGTCCCCACTCCCTCCCCCTCCGTCTCTCTGGGTCTGTACCCACTCCAGGCTGAGGAAACTGAGTTGTACGTGGACTAACATGACCTGCTAGCCCTGCTCTGTCCCACACGGACTCACCGCCACAGGGGGCTGTTTAAATGTACCTGCTGTTCTAGTAACATCTAAACCCACGTCCTCAGTCTCACAGCCTCATCCAGTGCCCACCAGCCAGGCACGGAGCGGCCTCCGGACCAGGCCCTGAGCGTCCCTCTGTAAGGAGTTCTGGGGGCAGCCCTGCCCCCACTCTCCGCTGTCTGGCTATAAGGCCGCTGCCTAAGGTCGTGCACGGAACCTGAGTTCTCTTTTCTTTTCTGATTTCCTTCCTGTAAATTTAAAATAAAACTGTG